CTGGCCCAGTTTCGCTCCACGAACGTCGGGCTTCCCCAGAGGGAAGGGTTCAGAGCGGTCGTCACAAACTTCCTGGCGGCCCCAGAGCGCTGGCTTCTGTGATGCTCACACAGCTGCCCTCACTGACAGTCTTGACTCCCCTGTCTCAGCCGCTACCGATGACACAGGCGTCATCTCCCTCTTACTCATCAGCAGCCCAATCCATGGGGTGGTGAGGGGTGAGCCGCCTTTCTCATTAATAAGCGGGTCACCCTGTAGCTGCAGAGGCAAAATGAATCACGGTTAGAAATAGCCGTCTCCCCACTCTTTGGTATGATGCCATCATTTAAACCATCTAAATATAGAAGAGCCTCTCTAATTTGTAAAGCCCTAGAGAGAACAACGGAGTTTGAAACTTTCCTTCATCACACTGCTGTTTAACAATAAACTTCGCCACATGGAAATCTCAGCTCGCCGCCCAGCAGTTCGTTGACTTTCGGTTTGCATCAAGAGAAAGATACGTTTAAATTCTACTTAAGTTTCCTTTAATAATAACATAAATTAACAAAAATATATAAAATCTAACACTCTAGAATCACTGCTCAATATGTTTACTGGTTATGTTTTTAAACACGTAAAGACAGAGTTTTAAGCGGAGAGTAACATTATTAGGGCAAATGTTACTTTCTGCAAATGTCTGAAATTGCTGCCCGTAGGGTGATAGGAATCCTCTGGTATAAAGCATCACCACATCTGGTATAAAGCAGACACGTCCCCCTCACCCCACTATTCCCTTCCATCGCACTGCCGGCCCCTCTGTGCCCCTTTGCTCATCTGTCCCAGGAGAGGAGGTGGGCTCTGGGGAAGATTGTTTGCAAAAGTGGTGACAGCACCTCCTCCCTCCCCAGGCCCTCTGCAACGTGACAGCCACATCTCCCACCAAGGGGTGGGACCATTTTTTTCACCTCTTCAGTCCAGGGGGTGCCCTATGGTTTGCTTTCACTGACACAATGCAGTGCAAGTGAGGGGTTGTGGCTTCTGCACCTCTCGGCCCGGAGTGGCCTTGTGCCTTCTCTCTGGTCCCCTCATATGCTGCCACTGTGCAGAGAAGCCCAGACGAGGCTTCTTAACGATGAGAGAGGCCCAGCTGCAGCCCAAACGGGCCAGCAGAAAGGCCTCCCGGTGCGAGTGGGGCCAAGCGGAGACCCGCAGTTCAGCCCTGAAAGTGTGAGGCGCACAGCGTGCTGCTCTGACACACATGTGTACTGCGCTGTGGTCACCTCAGCCGACCTCTGCCGTGCCACGTGATTATCAGTCCTTCTTTGTGATGAGAACATTTAGTATTGAGTCTTGTAGTAATTTTGGAGTATATGCTGAAATATTGTTGGCTGTGATCCCTAAGCTGTGCATTACACCTTCAGAACTTACCAGTCTCCTAGTTGAAGTGTGTACCCCGTAACATCTCCCAGCCCCCCGCCCCCAGGCCCGGTCACTGCCATTCTCCTCTGAATCCACAAGTTGGGCGTTTTTAGATTCCACATGTAAGTGCTATCACACAGTATTTGTCTTCCTCTGGCTGATTTTGCTAAACGTAATGCCCTCGGGTTCATCCATGTTGTTTCAAAGGGCAAGAGTCCCTTCTTAGGGCTGAGTAATATCCTGTCGTGTGTGTGCCAAAGCTGCTTTCTCCGTTTGTCCCCTGACAGACACTGAGGTTGCTTCCTTATCTTGCCTGTTGCAAATAATGCTGCAATAAACATGGGGAACAGATATCTTTTCAATATTCTGTTCCCATTTTATATGTGTGTGCATGCGTGTATGGGGGTGTGTGTGTCTGTGTTCAAAATTGTGACTGCCGGATCACATGGTAGTTGTAGTTTTAAGTTTCCGAGGATCCTCCACACCGTTTTCTGTAGTGGCTGCACCTGTTTACCTCCCCACCAAGGGCTCCTTTCCTTCACACCCTCGCCAGCACTTATTCCTCGTCTTCTGGATGGTAGCCATTCTAACAGGTGTGACGTGGTAGCTTATCGTGATTTTCATCTGCATTTCCCTGATGATTTATGATCTTTTTGTGTACCTCTTGGCCATTCGGATATCTATTTGGAAAAAATGACTCCAATTCCTCTGCCCCTTTTTAATATTTTTTTAAGTTGTATGAGTTTTTATATATTTGGGGTATTAACTTCTTATCTGATATGTGGTTTGCAAACATTTCCTTCATTCCATAGGTTTCCTTGTCATTCTGTTGATTATTTCTTTTGCTGTGCAGATTTTTAGTTTGATGTCATCCCACTCGTCGATTTTTGCTTTTGTCGTCTGTGCTTTTGGTGTCGTATCCAAAAAAAAATCATTCCAAGACCAGTGTCAAGAAGCTTCTTCTCTATGTTTTCTTCGAGGAGTTTTATGGTGTCAGGTCTTATGTTTAAGTCTTAATCCATTTCAAGTTAATTTTCGTGAGCGGCATAAGATACGGTATGATTTCATTATATACATATCACATATCTTTCTGTTTGTGGATACTCAGTTCTCCCAGCACCGTTTGTTGAAGAGACTGTCCTTTCCCCATTGAGTGTTCCTGGCTCCCTTGCCAAACATTAGTTGACAGTATAGGCAGGGATTCATTTTGGGGGTTTCCAGTCTGTTCCATTGGTCTGTGTGTCTGTTTTTATGGCAGGACCATACTGGTTCTAATTACTACACCTTTGTATAATTTGAAACCAGGAAGCATGATGCTTTGTTCTTCTCTGTCAGCTTTGTTCTTCTCTGTCAGGATTGCTTTGGCCATTCAGGGTCTATTGTGTTCCATCTAAATTTTACTGTTGTAAAACAATTCCTATTTCTGTAAAAAAAAAAAAAAAAAGTCATTGGATTTTGATAGAGATTACACTGAATCTGTAGATGGGTTTGGGTAGCATGGGCATGTTAACCGTATTAATTCTTCTTATCTGTGAACACAAGATAGCTTTCCATTTGTGTCTTCTTCAATGTCTTCTATCAAAGTCTTATAGTTTTTATTGCACACGTCTTTTACTTCCATGGTTAAATTTACTCCTAAGTGTTTTATTGATTTTGATGCTATTGCGAATGGATAGTTTTCTTTATTTCTTTTTCAGATATGTCATCGTTAGTATATGGAAACAACTGATTTCTGTGGGTTGACGTTATAGGCTGCAACTTTACTGAATTCATTGATTAGTTCTAGCAGTTTCTTGGTTGAGTCTTTGGGATTTTCTACATATAAGATTATATAATCTGCAAATAATGACAATTTTGCTTTTTCCTTTCCAGTCTGGACAACTTGTATTTTAGGTCTTCCCTAATTATGATAATCAGGACTTCTAGTACTATTTTGAATCGGAGTAGTGGACACCCTCGCCCCTTTCCTGATCTTAGAAGAAAAGCTTTCAATTTTCACCATTAAGTGTGATGTTAGCTATGGATTTGTCACCTCTGTCCTTTATTATTTGAGGCATGTTTCTTTTATACCCAATTTGTTGAGGGTGTTTATCATGAAAGGATGCTGTATTTTGTCAAAAGTTTCTTCTTCATCTACTAAGATAATCATATGATTTTATTTTTCATTCTTTCAAGGAGGCATATTATATTTTTTGATATGTGTATGTTGAACCAGCCATGCATCTCAAAGGCAAATCCCACTTGGTCATAGTGTATGATTCTTTTACTATGTTGTTGAATTCAGTTTGCTAATATTTTGTTGGGAATTTTTGCATTTGTACTCATCAGAGATCTCATTCTACAGTCTTCTTTTCCTGTAGTGTCTTTATGTGGCTTTGGTGTCTGGGTAATGTGGCCTCATAAAATGAAAATTGAAAGTGTTCCCTCTTCTTTAATTTTTTGGAAGAGTTTGAGGAGAATTGGTGTTAATTCTTCTTTAAGTGTTTGGTAAAATTCACCAGTGGAGCCATCTGCTCCTGAGCTTGTGTGTCGGGAGGGTTTTGATTACTGATTCAATTTCCTTGTTTATTAGTGGTCTGTTAAAATTTTCTATTTCCTCCTGATTCGGTCTTGGTAGGTTGTATGTTTCTAGGAATTTATCCATTTCCTCGAGCTTATCCAATTTGTTGGTGTATAATTGAACATAGTAGTCTCTTATGATCCTATAAATTTCTGTAATATCACTTGTAGAGTCTTCTCTTTCATTTCTGATTTTATTAATTTGAGTGTTCTTTTTCTCTTAGTCTAGCTAAAGATTTGTAAATTTTGATTATCTTTTTGAAAAACCAGCTCTTAGTTTCACTGATCTTTTCTATTGTTTTTCTAGTCTATATTTCATTTATTTCCACAATGATCTTTGTTATTTCCTTCTTTCTTGTAATTTTGGGCTTAGTTTGTTTTTTTCTAGTTTCTTGAGGTGTAAAATTAGGTTGTTTACTTGAGATCTTTCAATTTTCATAATATACACATTTATCACTATAAACTTCCCTTTCAGAACTGCTTTTGTAGCATCCCTTAGGTTTTGGTGTGCTCTGTTTCTATTTTGTTTTGAGATTTTTTAAATTTCTCTTTTAATTTTTTCTTCGACCCATCGATTGTTCGGGAGTATGTTGTTGAGTTTCCACATGCGTGTAAATTTTTCAACTTTCCTCTTGTTGATTTCTAGTTATATCATTGTGGTCGGAAAAGATAGTCGGTATGATTTCAATCTTCTTAAATTTTCTAAGACCTGTTTTGTGGCCTATCATATGATCTATCCTGGAAAATGTTCTGTGTATACTTGAGAAGAATGTATATTTATAGAAAATGGATAGAATGTTCTATAAACATCTGTTAGGTCCCTTTGGTCCAATGTATGGTTCAACTCCAACATCCCTTGTTGACTTTCTGTCTGGATGATCTATCCATTGCTGAAAATGGGGTACTATTATTGTATTGTTGCCTATTTCTTCCTTCAGATCTGCTACTATTGCTTAATATATTTAAACAATATATTATTTTGTTTCAGTGTTGGGTGCATATATACTTACCGTTGTTATATCTTCTTGAGGAATTGACCCCTTAAAAATCTGGAACACTTCATGAATTTGCATATCATCTTTGTGCAGGGCCCGTGCTAATATTCTCTTTATTATTCTAATTTTAGTGCGTGTGTTGCTAAAGGGAGCACAACCCACTGTGTTATGAACAGATAAAACTGTTGTTTTAAACCACTAAATTTTCAGGCGGTTTTTAAACAGCAAAAGATAATTGATAAAGATTTGATCTGCTTGATGAATCTAGAGAGAAAGGTTGAGAGTGAACAGTCCAACCCTCTTCTCTCATTCTACTTCTGGGAGAAAGCGGCCCCCTGAGAATCCGTGTTCTCTTTTTGTGATCCAGGCCATAAATCGTACAGGGTTGAGATGCACTGATATATATTTTTCCAAATGCTAAAGAGCCTGAAGTTAAAGTCAATAGTTGGCTGAAATCAAGGCCAAAAACAAATGTTGCCATGAAAAAAAGAACTAGTAATCAAGAATAAATCTGAAAAATAATTAAAAATCAAGAATTATTATAATAATTTTAGTAGTCACACATCGAAAGCCCATTAGTAAAATTAAATGTGTTTTTAATATTTTTAACACTGTATTTCATTTTCTTTTCTCTCTACATTCTTTATTACGTCAAAATGGGAAGTAATTTGTCAAAATATTGAATTCTTCCTCATGAGATTTTAAGGTAGCAAAAATGATCATTTAATTTATTCTCAAAAGATGTGAAAAAAATCTCAGTTAGCTCTTTTTATTGAGAACACGTAGTATCTTGTATGGGATTCGGTCTTGACACTGTCCGCTACTTGCTTTTATGCGAATTTAGTGTCCCTGATTATCAGAGGGATGTTTCGTTCTAACGACTCCTGTCGTTTCTGTGCAGTGTTCAGCATATTTTTTAAAGGTGATTTTCCTGCGTTTTTCTTGCTCTCTCTGTCTGTCCCACTTTTATCTAGACCTTTTCTTTCCTCCATCTTGGTTTCTCCTTCCTGCTCAGTTTTGATTCGGCTCCTGAGTGCGGGGCCCTGAGCACTGTGGGAAGGCGGGGTAGATAAGCCTGGCGGCCTGGCTCACTGGAGGCCGCTTGCCTCACCTGCTTGTCAAGGTGATTTTACTTGGAAATAGGGTTTTTGCAGATGTAATTGGTTAAATGAAGTCATACTAGAATTAGGTGGCGCCCTACTTCAACGCGACTGATGTTCTTGTGAGAATATGGCCATGAAGGCAGAGAGAAAACGTCATGTGACAATAAGGCAAAAATTGGAGTTATGTAGCTGCAATGCCAAAGACTGCCCAGAGACTGCCAGAAGCCGAGATGATGCGAGGGAGCGTCCCCGAGGGAGCGTCCCCGTACGGCTTCCCTGGGAATCCGGGCCTCGCGACACCTTGATCTCAGACTGTTAGCCTCAGGCCTCGTGACACCTTGATCTCAGAGGAGATGCGAGGGAGCATCCTTGTTCGGCTTCCCTGGGAATCCAGGCCTCGCGACACCTTGATCTCAGACTGTTAGCCTCCAGCACTGAGGGACAGTAAATTTCTTTTGACTTCAGCTACCTGTTTGCGATACTTGGTTATGCCTGTCCTAGGCAACTAATGTCCTAGGTAAAGGCTGTGGGGGCCTCTGACCTTCCTGGTCCGCAGCCTGTGTTGAGCCATGTAGCTGGACTTTGCAGTCACAGAGAGACATCACATAAAGAATCTCGCCTGACTCGATGGTGAGCACAGAACTCAACACCCGAGAACTTGGAAGACGTTAGCCGACGTCTTTCCGTGGAGCTCGAGTCTTCTGTAATCTGGACAGTTTTGTCGCACCGAGGTTTTCGGCACCGTAAGGACCAGAGGCGCATGCGGGCTGCTCTGGGACTTCAGCCCGTCTGTTTCCGATGCCGTGCGTGGCCCTGCGCCCTGTGCAGTCGGCCTCCTGGCGTCGTTCTGTAAGGACACATTATTTTCTGTCATGAAAAAGTTTGGCTACTATGGGGTGGGTGAACCTTGAGCATCTCCACTCTCGTGGAACTGGTATTTTAAGTGTAAGTTCTGAATCACCAAACAAACCAGCACATCTCAAAAAAAAATAACAATTTTCCTTTGCGAATTGTACAAACGAGCAGATCCTCATTAGAAAAGGATCTTGACTGATTCTTCCCTATGTATCAGGGGCCTCCGGGGGGATTCTGCAGCCATCGTCAGAAATAACATCAAAGGCGAGGGCTTTACTGTGCTTGGAGGACCACATGAAAACACTCGCTGGTAGTTTCTGTAAGTGAAATGCACGCTAATCCTGCCCAAACGACACCCATCTTTGAAACCATTACACCGAAGACGTAGGGTATAATTTTCTGTGGGTCATTTCCTATTGAAGTGTGAACTAGATCAGAGTTGCAGGATTTTCTCTTCTTGCCTCATTCAATTCGTGTTTCCCCTCCCTTTTTAATAGTCTCAAAGTATTTTGTGACTAGAACAGTGCTTTTTAAACCTGAGTGTGCATGAAGTTTCGCATTCATAGACTGATTCAGTAGGACCGAACTGGGTTCAGGAAACCACAAATATAGCAAGACCCAGATCCTTATTTATCTATCATCTTCTATCTATCTATCTACCTATCATCTATCTATATCATCTATCTATCATATCTATCTATCCATCCATCCGTCATCCATCTATATATTTATCATCTATTATCTGTCTATCATCTATCTCTATCCATCTCTATCTATCATCTATCATCTATCCGTCTATCTCTATCTATCTCATCTATCATATCTATCTATCTAATCATCTGTCATCTCTCTGTTTTTCTACAAATCACACTGAGACCTGCATCTGACCATTGCCTTTTGCTGCCTCTATCTCCTTTCTTCTCCCACAACCATCTGAAGACAGAAGAAGCAAGCTTACCCCTTCCCCTTCCTGTCTGGACCACTCCTCCCCACCTGCAAAGTAAAACTCTGGACTCTAGTTGGCCAAGTCTGTCTCTTAATATGCTAAATGGGAAACTAAGACTGTGGCTGTGTTTTATTTTGAGGGAACCAGTAAGATAATGCAACTGGTTTGAAAACACACATGTATCTCTATAGGTCCTTAGGAATGCTGAAATGAATTTACAAATAGATGGAAAACTGGCTAATATCCACAGGGCCACAACCAATTATATCCCACATGAAAATATTCATTTGCATTTCTCTGGACAAGATTTACTTGCATTACTGTACATTTTCTAAGACCTACTGAGTTATAAAATAGTTTAAAGATGGTCGGAGGCCCTTGTACAATTAGACAACCTGGAAGGGTGTGCTAGACACGATACCCAGTGGTTTTCTCATGTTTCAGTGTGTTTCAAAATTTTCCTGACACAAAGACCTAAATTTCCTTATCAGTAAAACGAGAGATTTGGACTAGTGACTTGTGAGAACCTTCAATTCCAACGTCCCGTTACTGCGGTTCCTTGGCCATTGTCAGTGTGTGTGCATAAAACTCACGGAATTTCTATGCTGGTATGGCAGGACTGTTGTAGTCGTTTGTATCAGTCAAAGTCAGCCATAACTGTGAGGGCCTCCTCATGTAGTCTCTGTCTGAAGATAAAATCAGACGTGAACTCTGCCTCTCTCCCAGGCGCTTTGAGGCAGCGCGTGCCTGTGCGTGCCCTTGCAAGTGGAAGCAGAACCTAAGCATAGACAGTCTAGTGGATTCGCTCACTGTTTTTACCAAATGCTACATACACAAGACGCTGGTAACTTGGCTAATATGAAAAGGCAGGACAATAGTGTATAGATTCGCAGATGGTGAAAAATTGGGAAGCGACGAATCAAGTTTCTGTAATTCTTGTAGACTTCCCTGCAGGTCAAATACTTCCTTTTCTCTAAACATAGAGCCCAGGTATCCCCAAAAGCTCTCAACTTATTTAGTTTTCTAAAAATCTACTATATTTGAAGGTGCGAAATCATGAGTAATGCTTATATGCAGCTTATATTTTTGAGGATAAATATTCTGCTTTGTAGATTTTATCAGGTAAAACCCCATTTAGTTTAGAAATCAGCATCAAAACTTTTTTATTTAAATTTGTTTACTCTCATTTGAATGGTCTCATTTTAACTAAAAACGATCTTCTTGATGGTAAAACATAAAAACAATCACATTTCTTTGTTTCAGTCTTTCTTTTCTTTCATCCTAGTCATTTCTGTAGAACGCTGGGCAGCGTTTGGGAGGGTTTCTGGTAATAATACACCTACACAAGTGTGCTGCAGGAAATAGAAAGTCCACACCTGATCCCCTTAGTAGCTGCGACCTGATGAGTCATAGAAGAACTCAGGGCGACTGCTGCTGAACGGTGAAGATTTACATCCCAAATGCCTTTTTTTCTGCACCAATAACATAACATGGATTCAAGAGCAAAAATATCAACCAGACACACACATACATTTGTATCTGTCTACATAGCGCACAAAGGTGGTTGCAAGTAAGGCGCAGAGGGCGGACGCGGAGGATGGCACGATGAGAGAAGAGAACTCATAGGCATCGGCACCTTCTCTCTGAGAGCCAGATGGCATTCATCTACAATTTTATCATCACAATACCCCTGAAAAGGAGTTTCCAGTAACACCATCTTGCAGGTGAAGAAAATGAGACTCAATAGTAAGCAGCAGAGCTCAGTTTTGAAACCACCTCTGCCTGACTTCAGAGCTAAGAGGACAGAGAGCGAGACTCCTCTCTCCTTCGTCCTGGCACGGCAGCCAGAGCCCCGCACTGAAGCCGGGCGTCAGGACGTCAGGACGTCAGGGAGTCCGCAGGTCAAGCTCAGGCAGCTGCCAGCACCTGCCGCGGCCACGTTCTCCCAGCGTCACTAGCCGAATTGCTCCTGCCGCCAACCCGGGCACCTCCCGCCTCTGCATCCCCCTGCCTGAGGGGACCGAGAGGGAAGCGGCCGTAGCCTCTGCCCCCAAAGCTAGTAGAGAGGGAAAGGGGGACAAAGAGAATTTCTTCTAAAGGCTGCAGTGTCTGCAAGAGGAGGAGACCAACATTTTCATCCTCACAGCGGGACTGGGCTCAAGAGAGGACAGATGGCTTGGCCCCCATGGGACCCGAATGGGGACAAAGAGATTTGGAGAGAGAGGGCCTGGGGAGACCCAGGGACCACTTA